TTTAAAAAATGTGTGTGAAATTTCACAACAAAGTATTTTATCCACTTCAATCACATATAGCACTAAACAAGTAGCCTACTTTCACTCTTGAAAGCTTTATTAGTCTTTTGCAAATAAAAGTGTCACAGACTTAACATGCTTAAACAATCTATATCCATACAATAGTTAGAGTCATTGGTAAATAAAATTGTATAGTATGTAGTCTGAACATGTTTTTTCAACAGATATATGTTTACTAGTTTTTGAACAATTCAAGGAACTAAATATAAGGAACCTGGCAAGGCCAATAAAAGAGTTTAAGTTTTTAATTATTTCTATTAAAAGTTTGAGATATCAGCTTGAGACCTAAATTTAAAACCTTGTGGAGAATGCTGACTCATTTCAATACATTGGTATTCATACAGAGTTCTGATCACATACATGTATGTACATACACAAAAATGTGCCTATAAAATGAGTAAAATTCATATGCAGCAAGTCATACATATAAACCATATAATGATTATCATGACTATCATGGCACAAAAGCAATTAATTTATAATATCATTTTTATTTTAAATTAATTAAGCTACATATTCAATGTATGGTTTGAATTAAGTTATTACCTCTACCAACTTGTATGTCAAAATACTTTGTATCCAAATCACAAAAGTCTACCAATATATGATATTGTGTGGATCTTTTTTTTACAGACTTAAGTTAAGTCTTCATGCCAAATCTTAAAATTGCTAATATTGTCATAGAAATTTTTTTTTTTTTTTTTGCTACATGTATTAAAATATGAGCCACAAATTATTTTGGAATTCAAATCTGAATCCGGATCCAAATTCGGAGATACATGTATTTCTTCAAAGAAGACTTCCAAGTTAGAACAACTTTATCAAAGAAGAAGGTATGGTTTTAGCTTTATTGCACCCTAAAAATGTAATGACATCAAAATGTTTTGAAACTGGCTAAAATATTAGTTTAATAAATGACTCTGATAAATCAGGAAAGAGTATGGCATGAAGGTTTACTGCAAATATGACGTCATTAATGTGAAGCATTTCTCTATTTCAACAGAAAAAGCCTCAAAATGGCACATTTCAAGGGAGATTTTCCTTTAGAAAACAGTGTCCACAGCCGTCGCCCATGTTAATTTTTTGATACTTTGTGCAAAATTCAATAACAAATCACATATCTCAAGATCTTTGTGGCCGATGCCTGTGGACAATGTTATCTGAAAGAAAATTCCATTGAAATTTGGTGTCTTCTGCAACTTTTTAAGAAAATACGGGAAAATGCACATGTTTAAGACATCATAATTAGCATTTAAAAACACATGTGAGAAAAATCACTTGTATGATTTTTCTGCATTGAATTTCAATTATTCAAAAAGCATGAGTTTTCAACTTTTACACCAGTTTCATTTTTTAGAAAATCACAGGGCAAAACTTTTATGGAAACCATACCTTCTTCTTTTAGGATTAAAAAGAAAAAAATTCATGATTAATAATTTTTTAAATATAACTCATTTTAAAAAAAAAATCACCAATTCTCTGATAAAAAAACCCATAAATATCACTTCAGATAACAATACGTACAAGTTACATATATTTGTTGACTTGCAGTTAAAACAGATGAACATTTTTAGTGTCAGGCATATTATTCAAGAATGTTATCTATCACTCTCACTTGAGGATTTCCTGCAAAGGGGTCATCGTCGACATCACTTCGACCTAGTTTTGAGAATATCACAATAATTGTCAAAAATCCTATCACCCCAATTAATAAAACCATCAGAAAACGCTTCCTCAATGTCAGGGGATCTTTCTTCCCATGTTTACTCTCTCGGGACCTAAAATGAAGAGAGAAAAAAAAAATTCCAAAAAATCCAGAATAAGAGGAAATGTTCTCTATAGTTTAAATATTTTTTCTAGAAAAAGAAATACATATATGATATGAAGTTGCAATCCATGATAACAAGGTAATTTTTTTTCCTAAATTGAACACAAATTGTGATTCCATGAAAAAAATGTACTTTTGCAGTACTAAAATTGTAAAAATACTTAAATTTGAGCAAGGCAATATTTTTCAGCATAGAGAGCCTGATTTTAGCAGTGTGTAATACCACGCCCAATTTGTAACACTCCAAATTTTGATGGTCGCTCTATTAAGAGACTATCAGAATTTCAAAGCGTAACAAAGATTTGATTTTTATCACAATGGTACCACACCTGAAAGCTGTTGCTTTAATCAAACAGAGCTTACTTCAGCCATTTGGTGAGCCACTCCATTGCAGATCTTCTTCTGTATTTATTTTCATCATGGTCCTGTGATGTGTTAAATATTGAATTTGTGTCTTCCTTTGTGGAATCAAATAACTTTCTGGGATCTGTAAAATAAATAGAAATGCACAACAAATGCACTAGCTGATCTGCATTTATCACTGTGAAAAAAAACTGAGAATGCAAGTGTTTAACTTTAGGGAGAAAAAATAAGGTGAAGGAACTCTGGAAGATGTGTGATTTCTCTATATGTTAGTGATATTTTTTGAGGAGCTGTTAATACATATTGAATTAGGTTGGAACAGTAAGATTTTGTGCAAATATTAACTCATTGATTCTCACCATCAGTTTTCTTGGTATTATGGAATCTTCCTGATGAAAGATGAAAATTTATCCTTTTTTTTTCATTTTACATGTACATAATTCAAGACAACCGAAACCAAATGAATTGAGCCCTGTCCATACCTCCAAATGAGATTTTATCCTGGCCCCTGGCTGAGGTCCCCTCGTCCACGCTGATCACACTGTGCTGATTAGGGGGAACGTGCGCACTTGGTCTGTTGTTGTAGTTGGGAGGTGACACGGGGGAGTAGGAGTTCCCCATCTGGGGGTTCGGTGAGGCCCCTAAGGGGTAAGGAGAAGCAGCTGGTGTACTCGAATATCCTGTGGAGTAAGGAGTGGTCACATGACTTGGAATGCTGCCAGATTTCTGTGGGGTGTTCTGTGTGGGTAGTGTGGCCTCTGACTTTAGTGGGGTACTCTGGGTGAGTGGAGGGGCCTCCTGTGGGGGAGGGAGGACTGGCTCTTGGGGTTCATATATCTTCAAAAAGAAGTGAATAAAGTGAAATAAATGAATCAAAATATTGCTATATTGAAACCATGCAAAACAAATGGGACTTGAAATAAGAATTTTTGCCAGGTTATACATGGTTAACATGTTAACTACAAACTTGGCTACTGAATTTCGAAATCTCTCATTGGATAAGGCACAGTGACACTCTTATGAAGCTTTGTCAAATTTACACAAATCTGGACATTAAAAAAATATCATAATAATACCAATAATGGAATGCAACTTTCAAAACATAAAGACATTAGATGTACCAGTGGTAATCCCAGGCCTGCCCTGGCCCAGTTCACTGTGGAGAGGAGTGTTTTCAGTTTGTCTGCCACCGGTGACACCATGTTGGATGGAGGAAAGATTCCAGCACTGCAGGTGGGACATGTATAGCCAGCAGGTGCTGTATTGGCAGGGAACTGCTGGGCATATTGGTTCAGACAGGGCCAGTGAAAAATATCTGAAAAACAATAGAAAATAAATAAATATCTCCCAAGAGAAGAACAATTGAATTTGATACAAAGACTATGTTCCTAGATGAATGTGGAACAACTACCCTTGTAAATTGTTTTTGTCTTTTTTCCCCCTTGCAATAATCAATTGTATTACTGAACTTTTCACACCAGAGTGGCTCTTAAAATATGTCTATTAACCTTTTCCAGTTCTGAATTGCATATAAATTTTTGATGGAGATAAATGAAAATAGCGCCCTTTATTGAATTTGATCACATGACCAACTTCATGTCATACTCCAATGAAACTCTAAAAATTATATCTTATTTGTTAATTATCATTTATGAATAGAAAATTAAGAAGTGTATATATAAGTATTGATTTCTTACTTTTAGATGTTGTTTCTAGTGTAACACCCCTGTCCATGCCAAAAAATAATCTTCCTACAATGCTTCTGCACTTATTCATTTTTTTTTTTTTTTGGCATGACCAGGGACAATTGCCGATAGTGTCTTTGATACAACTGATAACATTCAAAAAAAAAGAAATTCAGTGCTTAATTGAAGGTACATAATTAACATGGACTAACCATAACAAGTCAATCTAACACAATCTCCATACTGTTCATCGTTTAGTAATTGGTGACACAAGCTACAATTTGGGTTGTAATCACTGTCTTGTAACCACTGCAGATAAGACTTGATCACACACTGAAAAATACCAAAATCGGAAAGTTATTTGCAATAATAGCATTTATGTGTAACTTCACAGGTAAATTTTTATCAATTAAATGCACTTTTCTTAAAATCTTTCTCTTGAAAATAAAGGTAATCAGTAATATTAAAATGACTGGTTTTTGTTAAAAAAAAATCTTGAAACATGTCAAAGTCCCTATTTAAATGAAACTTTCAGATGTACAACATTTAGTAGCCTACAACATTTAATATACAGTATACAGTGCTCGAGCTCTGCACATGAATGTTTTATAAATATGCAACAATATTTGATTATTTCTATGACTGTATGAAACAACTTATCAAGTCGCTTTTGCCAGTTTTGGAAAGCATACCTTTGCATGGTTTGCCACCAAACAGTTCTCACAAACATTTACTCTATGTTCGAAGCAGAAGAGATTCGTAACTTTCTTTTTGGGACATTTACAGAGCCCCATCCTTCTAAAACGATAGCAACTACGATTTGAGAATTTTTTATTTTCACCGGAAGTTTGAACGTGGAGGACAAACTAGTACTCGAAGTATAGCCGGATGAAAATCCGCGTTTTTATTTTTTAAAAATAAAATTAAATAAATTTGATATATAATAAATACATAATTTATTTTCTTAATATTTAAATCTAAGAATGTTTCATTCTTGTAATAATTTATCACTTTCGACACTGTCTCTAACTTCTGAAAGTTTGTATGTTTATCCAATTCAAAGCGTTTATTTGATCCAGAATCTTTCACCACGTGGTAGACAAGGAAAATGGCTGGTTCAGATACACTACTACAGACAGTCTGGAATAATCGTTCTTTGAGACCCCCGCCAGTAATATCTCTCTGCACCCCTTTGACAGAGAAAGGTAATCTTTATGTTCTTTCTGATTTTAATGTTTACAGTATTTGACAAATCACACATAGAGAAATTTTAATTGACTGGTCTTTAGTATGCATGTTCCTTGTTTCATGGCCATTATCAGCTTTGCATCTGCATGTACATGTATATTAATCTAAAGTATAATAGAAAAAAATCACAATTAAAGCTGTGTCTCAAGGCTACGAAAGCCGGATAGGCTCATTTCTGAGAAGATAATTTTTTTTTAACTCGTTATAACGAGTTAATTATCTCGTTATAACGAGTTAGTATCTCGTTATAACGAATTAGTTATCTCATTATAACGAGTTAGTTATCTCGTTATAACGAATTAGCTGTCTCGTTATAATGAGTTAATTATCTCGTTATAATGAGTTAATTATCTCGTTATAACGACTTAGTTATCTAGTTATAACGAGTTAATTATGTCGTTATAACGAGTTAATTATCTCGTTATACGAGTTAGTTATATCGTTATAACGAATTAATTTTCTCGTTATAACGAATAAGTTATCTCGTTATAACGAGAAAATTAACTCGTTATAACGAGATAATTTTCTCGTTATAACGAGTTCATTTTTCTCGTTATAACGAGTTAATTTTCTCATTATAACGAGTTAAAAACTGTTCTAAAGTTGATATATCTAAGTGATAGGAAGTATGGCATACTAAACCGAGTCGATCAAGTTTGTTTAAAGTGTGTATGATAAATATTTCATTGAAAAAAAGCAAACTAGTTTTTTTTTTTTTCAAGGGGTTGTGTCTGTGATTGTAGTTTATTTTTAAATGATGCAGTTGATTTGTGTTGTTTCACTTAAAAGACCGAAGATAATTACATTAACATGTATACGGACACTTTTGGCTGCCTCGTGATGTTGTGTAATGAGTCAGTGGACAGTAGCCCCCGAATTTTACGCGGGCCCATGATCTAATTGCTGATCTCTCCATACCCCCTTCTTCAAAACATTTCTGACTCAAAAAATAATAAATATATATATCACACTGTAAGTGTATGTTGCATTAATGCCTGCATTAGCTTGCTATTATAATGTATTAATATAGGAAATTAGACATTGATTATGGAAGCTAATAAGTCATCTTAAACATATAAAAAAAATTGTGTCTTTTATCGGAAAAGTTGTCATACATAAATTGCCAAACTTTAAAGCAAGTACATTTCGCAATTTGTTTTTTTTTTTTTTTTTGATATTGTGTCCTTAGAGATGTCCTCGTTTAAATGTGTAAATCTGTTCAATTAAAAAATTTGATATTTTTATAAAATTGTGATTATTGACAGCAAGATAGAAGATTAATATTAATAATTTTTAATCATATTGCAAATTAAATTTGCATCTCTTTATCAATTTGAAAATAAGTTTTGACTGATAATTATCAAATAAACTTCAATGGCATTAAACCTACAGCCATTTTTTATTCCTATATTGCTATTAATTTGGAAATAAAGGGGCAACGTATTATTTCGATATAACGAGATAACTAACTCGTTATAACGAGAAAACTAACTCGTTATATTGAGATAATTAACTCGTTATAGCGAGATAACTAATTCGTTATAACAAGATAATTAACTCGTTATAACGAGATATTTAACTCGTTATAACGAGATAACTAATTCGTTATAATGAGATAATTAACTCATTATAACGAGATAATTAACTCGTTATAACGAGTTAATTATCTTGTTATAACAAGATAATTTACTCGTTTAACGAAATAACTAATTCGTTATAACGAGATAATTAACTCGTTATAACGAGATAAGTAACCCGTAATAACGAGATAATTAACTCGTGATAACGAGATAGCTAATTCATTATAATTAACTCATTATAACGAGATAATTAACTCGTTATAACGAGATAGCTAAGTCGTTATAACGAGAAAACTAACTCGTTATAACGAGATACTAACTCGTTATAACAAGATAAGTAATTCGTAATAACGAGATAAAACTAAGTCGTTATAACGACATAATTGACTCGTTATAACGACATAATTAACTCGTTATAACAAGATACTAAGTCGTTATTATGAGATTACTAAGTCGTAATAACGAGAAAATTAACTCGTTATAACGAGTTAAATTTTTTTTTATCTTTTCAGAAATGAGCCTATCCGGCTTTCGTACAAGGCAAATGTTTACTCTTAAATTCCCTTTAAGTGTATACTTTCAACAATTTAACATTGTACATGTGCATATATGTTTTGTATGTATATATGAACTGATGAATCATAATTCTTAAAATGCACTTCAAATTAAAGTGTACGTTTCAGTGTTTGCATAAAATGAGTAATCACCAACAAAGAACAATAAAACTTCATTTCATACAATAAATACAGGTAAAGTGAAAACGGTTTTAATGGCCCTGAAAGAGATGCAAATGGCTAAAGAGAAACAGATAGTCCTTTCCACGGAGGAATTTGCTCTGTGTCGTATCATATACAAACTGAATGCCCAGTTACGGAGTGAAAAAACTCTTCAGTTCCTAAAAAGGGTATGTTCTTATATTATGTTCACCATTCTTACAATACTTGATATCGCGATTACTTAACTTAGCGGAACTCTTTCGCGAAGAAGGTAGGAATCGTCTGTTGGGTGGGGGCAATGTGCTTTTCAATACAATGCAAGATCGATCATTGTAGCATTTATAAGGACAGATAAGTAGAAAATCCTGGTGGAATGCCTCGCTAAACAATCGATGAACCAGTCTAATATATTTTTGAGAGGAGCCAATCCTTAATTGTAACATTTTTAACGATACATGTATTTTTAAATAAGCGGACGACTCTTCTCGTTAAATTTTCTTTGAAAATCGTCACATTTTTAAGAAGATAAAATATTCTAAACTTTCCTTAATTGACAATCTACTATTTGGAGTTCAATATCTGGCAAAACATCGTGATTTCGGCATTAAATTGTTCGAATCATTCGATTGTCACTACTGTAAACAATGTCATTTGCCCCCAGAAATGTAGACTTTTCTCGACTCCCCAGCAAAAGAGCGGTAGTAAGTTAGATAACTGCGAGGTACTCATTGGAAGTCGCGATATAACGTATTGACCGCTTGCTGTCTTTTGCTTTCATTTTTGTTGCATTTGTTTAGATTTTCATGAAATTCACACATTCCTTTCTTTTCTTATGTAGATAAAAGTATGTTTGGCAAAATTAGCTGAAATGAAAGTGGAAAAGATTGTGGACAATTTATTGCACATTCTACAGCAGTAAGTGAGCAATATCTTTTAAAAAATGGTAAATTAATTCGATGTTTGGCAAAGATATGCCTGAAAATCAGTTTTTATAAATAATACAGTCACTCTATGCAGTATTAGGTGCCAACAATTTCTTTTTTATAAAAGAAGAATACTTTTTAAACATTTTTATTTTCCTTTTCCATTATCAGGAGCAATTTGATGGCCAGAAGTGTTTATCTTCCTTCTCGACAAATGATGGAGCACCTGCTAGTCAAACTGATGGGAGCTAAACAACTTTACAAACAGACAACCAAATACTGCTTCACAGCATATATGTATCCTTTCAGTTTGATAGAGGAAAATTAAAATGCAGTACATTGAGTAAATGCCAATGACTACCCACAATTTGCAATGAAAAAAACATGGAGTGAGAATTAAACATTCTTTGATGAATTTACCACTTAGATTGAAAAAAAACTTTGCAGTAACACATTACCTTTTTTGGGATGGAGAGAGATACTTGTAGAAATAGTACTGGAACTTATTTCTTGATATTACAAAAGAAGCCTTAAGGCCTAATGAGTTACTGTATTTGTGCATAGCTAGCAAGATTAGATTTCATTACATATATTCAGTTACTGTAGACATACTATTTTTCCACGGGTTCAAAATTCGGCGGAATCTCAATTTCGATTTAATCCGTGGGTAGTAAATTTTCTCAGATTTCTCAGACTGTCATTGTATGCCGTACAGTACATTTACATTAAGTATGCTTGGACAAATTTCTGCAGAAAATTTGTGACCGCGTACATAGCATAAATTAATACCATGGGGAAAAAAGTACATCTACAGTATCTATTTACAGTGTACCTATTCATTGCTTTCTGTGCTAAATAATTAAGCCCCTTGACAAAATGAAGTCATTTGAAGCAGCAGTTGTCCATTGGAACTTTGGTACCACAGAATCTGACATTAATGGCTCTGATTAGCAGGTTATGGTAGGTTTGTAGGGAAGTCCTTTAGGCTGTCTGTTGATTATAGCTCGTAGAGTCATGGGTTTTTTGCACTGATATTTAATATTCCTATTTAATTACATGTACATGTAGAATTGATTACATTGATTATAAAAAAAATTTCCATTTATTTTAATATATATACATTTTACATGTATATCTTTGAAGCACTTTTAAAGAACATTTTTATAGGGAAGTTATCTCCCTTGATGATTTTTGATTTGCAGACAAATTAAAGTGTTATGACTATCTGTTTGGAAAAAGGCAAGATAATGGTCCTCCTTAACTTGTTTTGTACTAATGTGTTGATAATGTTGCTAAAATGTATTTTAGAATATATACATATTCAGTGCCCCAATAAGTAGGGGTGTTATAATATTTAAGAATTCAAAGTTATATTGGCCATATTTATATCTAAATCATACCTTGCAGGCAAATTGTACAGTTTATTTTTTATTATAGGGTTCTGGCAAAAACCTGTCTCCTCAACTGTAAAAGGTGGTATGGAGAACTTTATCCATCTCTGGGCATCTTTGCTCCTACAGTTCACCCTTGGGTTAGTATTACATGTATTTTACTCACATGTATAGATTACATCATAGAAGCCGAGTAGTATTGATTATATCGTTTTCATGGGGCGTGGAAATTGAGGGCGTGGAGTGCTCAAAAAATAAATTGTCAAAATCTTCAAACTCAGTTAAAAACTCAGTCAAATTCACTAAGAACGTCTGACATGTTGGAGAGCTAGCTTGAAATGAATCTTTTTTTTATTATTGAATTTTGACACTCTCAATGAAATTTACGTCATCAGACATGCGACAAGTTGCTTACATCATAGATGCCTCATACTATTGGTTATATCGTTTTAAAACGATATAATCAATACTACTCGGCTTCTATGATGTAACCTATACTTACGGATATAGGGAAGTTATTTTGCTGGTGCCAGTGACTTCGTTATATCCAAGTTTTACTGTATACTGATTCATATATTTACAAAATGCCAAAGTAATATATTTGGAGTCAAATATGGGTTAAGGTTCATTGATACTCTGATAAGAGAGATAACTCTAAAGATAAGAAAGATAACTTTCTTCAGGCATTTTGTCATGAAATTCAGTGAATTGTCATGCCAGAGTTTACAAATCTCTATCATTAGGACCATTTTATAGTTAACTCAAGCAAACCTACCCCAACCTTCAGAGGTTGATTTCTAGTTCTATTGATGGTATATTTATTAATTATTTTTAATAGTTTACCTAAAACATTTATACTCAGTCCCTTTATACGGAGTTTATTGAAAAAAATCTATCTCTAAACGTGTAAGTCTTTTAATTGTACAGAAATTACAGCCGCAGAATTGTTTATAAACATTTAAATAATATTTTATTTCATTAAAAAAGAATTTCAAGGGCGGTAATGGAACGATAACTCTTGTTTATGAATGCATTTTATTTTACATGCACAGAAAACAATTTGATATTCTGATTTAAAAAGCATCGCTTCAGTATGTTTTCTAAAGGGCATTAGATAGGTATGAGAGTAAATATTATTTTTATATGTACCTCATATTTCTAATTTAATTGTGAGATTAAAAATAATTGATCTTTCTAATGATCATATCAAATTTTCTTCACATCATGATTTGACATATTATTCATTTCTGAAAAAGTAAGCAATGCTTCATACCTCAAACTATTTTCTATTTGAATTTAATGTTATAGTTGTTGCTGAAAATCAATGTTTGGAATTTTAAAAAAAAGTCGTGAAATGTGGAGCAGAGGGTTATTGTCCCTTAAGGGCAAATTGAGTGTATATTGCCAAAATGTACAAACTACCAAATGCATGTATAAATTCTGTTATTTGTGCAATACAAGCTCCAGATTAAATCAGGTTTCACATCTACTCTTCATTTTAACAAGAGAGGGAGTGGATATTAATGGGAGGATGTGTAGTGATGGATTGGGCTCTGAGATCTTGAACAGAACTTTATCTTTATTCTTGATTGCAGTTACCAGATGGTGCAGTTTTACCATGCACAATTGCAGAACCAGATGATGAGTCAGAACCATTAGACATGTATCAAAGGTTAGTGTTAAGTCTACTGAACATGCATCCCCCCACAAAACATTTTGGAAAGAGAATGGATGGTAGGGATTTGGGAATAAGTTTGCAAAAACACTATGTTAAGACATCACATGGTTCAACACTGAAATGGTCTCTAGAAGATACTGTAAACCAACTTTTATTCACGTGCGAGAAATTTTTGCGAAGTTCGCAAGATCCTCTTCATCGCGAATATTTCTCGCTGCGAACCGGTCCTTAAAGTGCACATGTCTATTAACAACAGATCAAAAAAGGCTTGATCATGAAAATTAATCATCACGAACAAGTTTATCCTTGGTAAATCATGAAATAAAGTCATCATGTTTTGTCTCCTATTTGGTTTTACTGGTAAATCAGATACAAATCGAGATTCAGCTGTCATATTTTGTTCAAACAAAGTATTTGAATGTTATGAAGCCTAGACAGCTACTTTTGATTTGGTATTTTTTCTAAGATATTACAAAAAGTTCTAAAACAGAAGATATTACAAAAAGTTCTAAAACAGAAGAACTGAATTTTTAAGGTTAAATCATTTTGGGATACTGTAAGATTTGAGAATCATGCTATAGTATTTATCCTTTATGGTGTATTCTAAAAAGAGATGATAAAAAATAAAAATTACTGCATACATAAGAAATAATACTTTAAGGACATATGGAACATACCTTATTTGTTTATAACTTTTCAAGATATTCTTAATTTAAGATTATATCGCCATCAGATATCCATAGACAAAAAATCAGCCTGCATTACCAGGGGATTAGAAAAGATATCAGATGATAAAAATTCTTGTAAAATTCAAAGAAAAATTTACAGTAATTACTAAGCATATATTCTAGATGTTTTGTTTATCCAACCTTTTTTCAAAAGAAGTGTACAACACCATATATAGACAAAAAAATGTAGCAAACAGTTCCTTCAAGTATTGGAACTCTTCAACTTCAGGAAAAATACAATAAAGTTCAAACTATGTTGGCTATGTCTCTAAGAAAAGTGAATGAAATCACTTATTCAATTCTTTTTTTATTGCAGTAATACTTATCAGGAGAAGTTTATGGAAAGTGTTGAACCAAAGAAGATGAAGTACTTTACCTTTCAGAGAGGTATGATCTCTTTACTCCAAAAAATAACTGTCATTTAAATTTTGGCTAAAATACTGAGAAATGCACTTAAATATATATATATTAAATGTATAGGTTGTTTATCTTTACAGAGATGAGAACTATACGTATTATTTTTACCTGATTTGTAGATATCGTCGAGGAAGATGGAGAAGGCGAATCGTGCGATGAAGATAATAACTGGCTTTCAGACACAAATGATGAATCTTCGAAAACACTGTCAGCAGGGGACAGAAGTAAAGTTGTGAGTTTACACAAAGACATGAAGAAAGGTGGCAATGATTGTGTTTCAAACATGCAGCAATCAGAAATTGGCGAGGATGAAGGGGAACCAGTTTCTAGAGTTCAGCAAAGTTCTAGTGAGGATGAAGGGGAACCAGTTTCTAGAGTTCAACAAAATTTAAGTGAGGATGAAGGGGAACCAGTTTCTAGAGTTCAGCATATGAGTAGAGATGAAACTGAAACACCTCTACCAAATTCAAGGAGAGATGAAGGGGAACCAGTATTTGAGAACATTCGACAGCAAAATGTAGACCCCCAATATCTAAATGAATGCAATTATACAGACCCTGGTCCATCTGCGAATGTATCAAAGAAAAGGAAGGTTTCCAAGGTCAAGAATGATCAGGGACTCTGTATATCTAGTGCTGTTAGTGGTAGGCCAGAAATCACAGGACCTAGACAAATGTTGAGTCACTATGAAGCTAAAGGGGGAAGTATGCCTCAAGTCTTTATCGATAGTAAAGCTGTGAAGAAATGCTCATTTGAGGAACTAATTACAACACTAAATGATCTGCCTCTTGTGCATAAAGAGGAAAAGAAACTGGTCCGGACTTACGTAAAGACGTTAAAGAAATTGAAACATGAATCCGATAAGAATGTGCATCCTCTCAGACAAAACAAGAAATTAAAGAGTGCTCGGAAACTTGTGATGCAATTTTCTTCAGATCTCGATCAGGTAAGAATGGTTTGTCAGGAGCAAGAGGAAGTCAAAAGGAAAGTGAAAGAGCAGCGGAAAATTACCAACACGCCTTCAAGATTAGTGGATGGAGACGTAGCTCAAAAATCAGGAAAGAAAAGAAAAAAAGATTTCGATCATGAGGAATTGGGAGAGAGTGATGGAAAGAACAAAAAAAAGAAGGTAGATGAAGAAGAAAAGGGACAAAGACAAAATAATTCTAAAACCTCAAAGGGAAATAGAAATGGATTTTTGAAACTGGCAAAGCAATGGCAGAAAAGTGTTGAGGTTTCTTCTATGGTAACACTTCAAGGATTAGACTATGATCTTAGCAATCCTGCTAAAAGAAGAAAATTTCTCAAAAACTTGAAAATTGTCAAGTGGAAGTTTTTGAACAGAGAACTAACAGAAGAGGAGAGTATAAAAGCAATTGATTCTCAATTAATTTCTTTATAAATGAACAGATTTTAGCTTATAATTGAAGATTTATTCCTTGTGGGTACTTTGATCATTAAAAAATATATTACTGGTCTTATAAAATTATTTCTTAAGTGCTTTATTTCTTTTTTAGTTCTACTGGTCAGAGATAGTAATGCATTCAGCATCCATCCCTCTGTCTGTCTGAAAACAATTTTTTGAAATGCTACTCCTCCTACAGTGTTGGTCGGATTTAAATATAACTTGGCATGCAGGTAGACTACACTAAGATACATAATTCTATGCATCAGTTTTTGATTTTGATGAACAGTGTTGCCATGGTTACTGAAAATAGAAATTTCTGAAAATACAGGGTAAGGCCATCTTTTTTTCAGTTTCAACTTCTTTCAGTACCCATTTTGAAGCATTCAGTACTACATTTGCCGGATATCAATTCCCTGTAAAATACAGGGGGGGGGGGACCAACCTTTCAATTAACATTTCCTAAAGTAAATCTCTTTGGAATGTAGTTTTTAGGTGCTTAATGTAAAAGCAAATCAGAACAGAAACATTAAAAAAAATATTGATTTGTTTTTGTTTTGTTTTGTTTTTTTTCAAAGTGCCAATTTCTCCGAAACCTACGCGTGCGGATAACTTTAAACATAGAATTGACTTTGGACAGCCTAAAGTTCTGAATGAAATGTTCCATAGACACAGATAAACACATACAGGTATTTTTTGAATTGTAATTCACATACATGTACTCTTGCAAACTGATACTCCACTGATAGTTTAAAAAATTGCTTTTTATTAAAACACTGAATTGTAATGGTTTTCAATTGACCGATTTTAAAATTTCAAATTAGTTTAAATAAGATCTGATTAAATGTCATACTAGTAATTTCTTTTATGTTCTTGCAATTAGAACTTGTCCAAAAACTAGTTCTGGCCACGGGTATATTAATTTTCTAAATACATATATAGAATTTAAAGATCCCGGAGAAGACAGATTTTAAACGCAATCCTTTAGTCATTATGATAATGTTTCATTCCAAACATAAAGTATGGAAATCCTTAAAGCACATTAATTATTGACATTAAGATCCCAATTGTACTAAAATTTAACTAATTTATGATTTTTTACACATGATGTTAATGTTATTGTAGAAGTTATTACGAAAGGAAATATCTAAATCTGAAGGGGGTGGGAGTATTCTTGACAGTGTGGTTGTGAAACACCGACATCCCAATTTCCTATTGAAACACTTTCATTTAATCATCCAGTGAAGAACTCGGGTCGTAAACACAGCAAAAAACACGAATCTCTGTAAACACCAGAAGTGGAATCAGGTGCCAAAGGAGTAGAAAGCATTCCCCGTCGACCGGTCACACCCGGAGTGAATCCATGATTAATTAAACGGAGTACTCAGTAATATGTAGTCTGAATTGTATTAAAATGGCCTACCAAAATTGTGGAAAACGTCAGACCCATTCGTCAATCGGAACATCACTCGGCCTTTTCCGTCAAGTCTCGACTTGACGGAAAAGGCCGAGTGATGTTCCGACTTGACCCATTCATAGTATTTATCTACACACAAGTTGATCATAACGACCATAGGAGTTCATGCTGAATTTTGACAAGATGACCGAAGACTCTGTAGCTTCAAATTATTTGCCAGTAGTCTGTCGATCTCTGTTAAAAATTTATTGTACTCGGTTTATGCAAGTGTGTTTGTTTTATCAGTATCTTTTGAAATCCATAAATGATTATAGACTCGGATCTGTGATTATGGATATTGCATGTAATCATAGGCTCTTTAAACCCGCACGCTTCACGGAAGAAAATGCAGTTAAAACAATCCGTCTTTTCCTTAAACTTCAATATGCCAACAAAGGAGTTGACGCGGTTAATATAAGAAATATTCTTAATCACAAAAGGGTCCAGTCTAGCATTCCACCATATTTCAAGTTAAAGACTACACCTTGCATTTCCTACAAATATACATCGACCGTTGCTTCCAAACATTTCAGTTACAAAAACACTTTACATGGCGTGGATACCGACTACTAGTATCTGAAACATAATCCTCCTTCGTGTTCATGTTCTTCTTCGCCCTATAACTATAGTCCTGCTGGACACGTTATTACAGGTGACGTAAATATAGTTCGTGATGAGGACCTTACATCACTTATTTTAAAAGGTCCTAAATATAGGGAACCCCGATCCTTCAACTGGCGTCGGAATTTCATAAAATTATGGATTCTGCGGAAAATTACGCCAGACGATGGGCAAGATATGAAAAAGAAGACGTTGACACCTTGTCAGAATGGATCAAATGTATCAGATCCATGTTAAAGTCCCGTATTAAAAGATTGAGGGGCAATATGAAAACCATATATCCTTCTGTGTTCAATAAACCAGAAGTGAAAAAGGATAGATTACACGACCAGTACGTAGTTTTTCCTGTCGACAAAGGAAGAAATTCTTCAAAATCACCTGTCAGTTTTGACTACTTTTAATATTCCACAGAGCCAAAATGAATTTGAACTACCTTATATATATTGGATTCCAAAACTTCATAAGAATCCTTACAAACAAAGATACATTGCAGGTTCCAGTAAATGTTCAACCAAGCCTCTTTCGTTACTCCTCACTAAGATATTGACAGACTTTAAGGTCATATGCAACGTAGTTTGTACTTTATTGGGTTCTTCCCTGGAGTTGAAGAGTTCCACTAAATGAAGGTCTTGTGTTCAATACTTTTAATGTCTATATATGGATTTGTACACCTCTTCTAAAACTAATTTTGATGAAAAAAATCTGGAATTTATGTTTTGTAATTTTTGTACATTTTTCTTTGAATAATGCAAATATTTTTTCTTTTGTCGAAGAACATGTAATGGTATTATAAGTTTGAATTAAGAATATCTTGAAAATTATCAGTAGGTAAGGTACCTTGCATATGTCCTTAAGAGTACTGTGCAACTAAATATTCAAGAAGTTATGTGAATCAGATATGGATACTAAAAAATTCTGAAGAACTTTTGGACACTTTGAAATCACAAGACTTTACGAAAATCAACATTCAACAGCTTAAAAACTTACGACTTTTCAACTTTATACACAACAATTCCACACGACAAATTAAAATCCAGAAATCCAAAATTTTGATATCACTGACAGCTGCTTCTTCAATAAAAATGGAACTCGTAAATTTACTTACCTCGTCATTTGCAAAATTATTTTGTTAAAACAGATTCTGATTGCACACATAAGTACTCTGAAGTTCTTATCAAGAAGATGCTTGAGTTTCTGTATGACAACATTTATGTAGTTTTTGGAGACCAGGTATTCCAACAGTCTATTGGAATCCCCATGGGTACAAATTTTAGCAGACTTATTTTTATATTCATATGAAGCAGAATTTATGCAAAATCTTATGCGTGAAAAGAAGAAAACACTTGCTGTGGCCTTCAACTCGACATTTAGATATATCGACGACGTATTGTCAATTAATCAGGCACGTAGTATCCGGGGGGCCTGCCCCCCCCCCCCACTTTTTCCCCCAACATTACCTTTACTATAGAAAATGTCTATTGAAAAGATGGTTGCCCCCCCTTTTTACCACAGTACATATATAGCAAGGAAGTATAGGAAAAATTGGAAGTGAAAGGAAGTTATCCTTGAAAAAGGTTGGCCACTACACCCCCCCCCCCCCCCAACCCCACGAAATAGGATTTTCGAGTTTGAGTAATTTTCAAATTTTTTTTTGCTTGTCAACCTTTATTTAGGTAAGTAAAAAAAATTTTCTCAGGTTGCCCCCCCCCCACTTTCAAGAACAATGCTACGTGCCTGTTAATAATGGTAATTTCCATTCCTACGTCGATACGATATACCGGTATCCTGGTGAGCTTGAGATAAAAGATACCACAGAGTCCGACACTTCTGTTTCATACTTGGATATATTACTTGAAAAAGACACTAATGGTAATCTAACAACCAAGCTATATGATAAACGTGATGACTTTAACTTTTCTATCGTCAACTTCCCCTTACTTATGCAGCGATATACCTTCATCACCTGCATGCGGAGTATATATATCTCAGTTGATTCGATACGCAAGAGCATGCTCTACGTATGAACAATATCTAAAACGAAGTAAATTATTGACAAGCAAATTGACGAAACAAGAATATCAGAAATCTCGTTTAAAGTCATCATTTCGTAAGTATGGTCGATACAAATGACCTTGTCAACAAATACAGTTTATTTCTGAGTCAAATGCTGACTGACGTTTTTCATACCAATTGTTACTCCATTATTTATACACTGAATTGACGACGGATTTTTCCCGTTATTTCCTGATCATGACAACGAGCACACGGCGGGTGTGACCGGTCGGCAGGGGATGCTCTCTCCTCCATGTCACCTGATCCAACCTCTAATGTTTCGCAGAGGTTTAACTTCGTTCTTCTTGGATAAGTTTTGTCTTTTAGAATGTATTTTTACAAAACACGTAACTTGTTTCAATATTGACCCGTCTGTGCGAAGGGGTAGTGACTTGCTCTTCAAATCAATGTAAACAAATATTAGCTGTCTTTAAATCTTCTCAATTTAAAGACCTGTGATTTTGTTCACGTTTCTATAGCCACAATGTAATATTTAATTAAAACAAATAAAATGTGAAAGTCCATTAAATATATATCAGTTTTTGAAATTTACGAATCCAGATTGTCTCAAAACTTGATTGATCAAGTCAGTGGCGGATCCAGAAATTTTGAAAAGGGGGTGAGCAACCAGTTAGAGGTCATGGTAGGGGCGCACAGCCAAACCAAAAACATTGATTTATTAGATATTGTGTATTTTTTTTTTTTTACACAAAAGGGGAGGCGCCCCCCTGCCCCCTCTAAATCCGCCAGTGCAAGTATAGCCCTGTGTTATGAAGATTAAAAAAGCTTTGTAGATATCCCACTATTTTCTCGAAGAATGAATTCTGTATGGTGAAGGAAGTACTATTTCTAAAATATTGGACGGTTTTGTTTTGCTCAATTAACAATAAAGTGTAAAACTTTCGTTTCTTTGTTGATTTTATTTCAT